ACTTAAAGACGTGAATATAATCTTGGCGTAGGCCATTTCGGAACATATCGATTTCGCTACATTACACTACATATGTCATGAATCATCGAACCTTCATTCATCGAATAATGCTGTTGAATTTATTTAAATTTGCACGATTTCCATAAGAATTTCTACATAATGGCTTTGTTAGTGTATGTATGTAAATTTCTTACATTTTTCTACCTCGAAAATTAAATCATGCTAGTAATTTAATCAATATACATATATGACTATTGAAAACGATATTATAATGAGAACATTTAATTTTCTACAACAGATTTTAACAGCTTCAGTGAGACGTGGATATGAAAATAAAAACACATGAATATTTCCAAAGAAAAACTGGCTATGGACACTTGGAGCTGTTACATAATATTGATACAATGGAGGCAGAGCTGACTAAACTAGAAAATGATACATGCAAATAGCTACGCGTGACCCCACAGGGGCTTTGTTGCGGCTACATAAATTATGAGGGCAATTGTTTCCTATAACGATGCTGTTGCGACCCTTATTTTGCTTTTATGCGATAGGAATGTATTTTTGGCTAAGATTGCTCACATACAACACTTAAAACTGTAGATAGTTTAGAGATAAAATTTATCCCTATTTTGCTAAACCTAATAAAGTTTTTAATAAGACGTTTGATCCATAAGTAGAGCTAAGTAAGCACTGCGCGGTTTTTATTTTAAATAAGAGGCATGTTTAAACTATTTTCATTAACAAATAATATTGTGTGCATATTTTAGAAATAATAATAACAAGAAAAAATAATTCAAAGATATGTGAAGTCCGTTTCTTGGAGGACATTTTTTCAGAGGTTTTTTTTAATTCAGCTCGGGTGTTTTTAAATTTTTTTATTAATTTCAGAAGGTATTTAGTTTATCACACAAACCTTCATGATAAACAGCTTCTAAAAATTGTCTCGTTCAGAAATTGATGATAACGTCGATGATGCTAAACTGTTCTATATGTTTTTTGTTTTTATTTTAAAAAGTAAAGCGCTTTCAGTCAGTAGACTAACAAAGCTTTATCGAAAGCAAAACCCGTGGGTTAGCCGAAACCCACGAGGTAGTGCCGTAACCCCGATGGCCGTTTACTGAACTTGATTAGTTTGGTGGATGGGGGCGGTGAGAACCGCCCAGGAACGCGGGTGTACCTAGTGTACGCGTTGTGTTGGTTTCGCCGTGCTACTACTACAGTTTTTGTGGTTGCACTAACTGTTTGTGTAGTGTTCTGGCGGGAGCGCCGACGGTGGGCCCAACGTAGATAAGTCCCCTTCCTGGACCGGGTCGATGAGAAAGTTTGTGGACGACGCTTGTTAACGTTCGCGTTGATAATTTGCTGCCCATATGCTTACACAGTAAATCAAAATTTTGGACCTTTGACGATTTTGCACCTAGCGGGATACTCTGTGTTCAGACAACGCTATTTTTCAATCTTCTTAAAACATTTTTTTTTCGGCTTTCACTGTCGTCCTATTTCTTGTAATAGTTTTTTTTTCCTTTTAGAGTAACATTAAAAAAATAATCGTTTGAGTAACTTTCAAACTAACAGTTTTTGTTTTGTAAAACTCTTAAAAATACGTACAATTCTTTTGGCAGGGTCTCGCTGTAAAACGATCGTTCCACAGGCAGGCTAAAAATCTCCGAGCAGGAATTTCGGGCAACGCGGAATCATAATAATAATGGCCCAAGCCGGGTCAAAGAAAATCATTTCGAGACGGCAACTTTGCAAGAAAGAAAGTTTCTTCAATATAACGAATTATTGGATTTGCAGACGCGGCGCAAGTATAATCATATCGGACATTCGAGAATGATATCTTTTTTTAGGGAGCTGTAGGAGCTCTGTACGTTATTTGATTTCTTGTGTTTTTTACATGTTAGTCAAATAATTTTTTGATGAAAGTTCATTTTCTCACATTTAAGTATGTTTTTGTTCTGCCATATTGAAACTTTGAAATCCACTACAATGATTAAACTACAATTTATACGTCAAGGTTTATGATTCAATATTTTGTTCTGTAGTCCATTACCACTATCAACATCATTCACATGTTTTGCAGACGGCTCCTACGTGGAAAAAAGGCAGGAGAAAGAATATATAAATATATAATATATAAATACTAATGTATCTTTATAAAAATTAATATTTAACATATTAATGCCAAATTTTATCTATTTCTTATCATAAAATGAAATATTTGTTTTGATTCTATAATGAATAAATCAATTATGTTCTTGTTTAAAATACGAAGAAAAGTACACAGAGGACACAAAGCGAAGCTATTTAGGTTATTTCAAAGCTAACAGATGCTCAAGCCAAATACTTGTGAAGCAGTTTACTCGTTGAAAGTTAGATTTGCACTTAATCTCTTACTTTGTTGAACGTTTTAAGTGAGTTTCTTTTAAATAGCACAATGAAAATAAAGGGAACTTAATTAATTGCTCAAGATATAGCTAGGTTAAATATGTAAGCCTGCGTACGGAAATTGTTTACATTCGCTGCAAAAATCGATGATAGACTTCCAAGTTAAGAGAAATTCGTGTAACGTGCTTAACTATATTTTTAATCCTTAAAATGGTGCAGATTTGGTGGTGGTTGGATAAATTATTAGATTTGAATAGCGATCAGTAACATTTTAAGGAAAAGACGGAAGTGCGATTTGGACTGGAGCACCGAGAGTTTCTTTTTCTGAGTAGGTTTAGGTTTCTCTCAAAATCAGATCCCGAAACGTATAGTTACAATCTTATTTCCTTTAGCGAAGGCGAGATTGGGTTTAGTGGTTGTTCGTACTTTAATATTAAATTTAACGTGATACGTTCACGCGTTCCTTACAAATAGGGTATTTAATTATTATTAATATTTAAACTATTTTTTATTTAATTATTATAAATATTAATATTTAAACAGAAAGATACAAGGATAGGTATACAAAAGGACAGACAGAAAAAGAAGTGATCCCATTAGTCTTTTTCTTTTTGTCGAACGAAACCCTAAAAATACGTATTCCTTTCTTTATATTCTTGTAATTTAGTAGGCTACCAAAACTATACTTTTACGCTGTGATTATTAAGAAAGATAAGCAAGTTCTTCCTTATTTCATACATTTTATTTCGAGTATCCCATTGATGTTATGTATAATTCAATGTAAATACACATTGATTTTATATATACATCCAATCATTCATTTAGATACAATGCGTATTATTCACCGAGCGCTTGAAATGTCTCGCGGAATTCTGTAAATCTTTATTTGAAATAAATAAATCGCTCCGCTTCAATTTCGTATCGCTCCACGGGAGAGCCCAGAACGCAGGTGCATCTTTCAATCTGTTACCACTTCTCAGAAAACAGCTCGACAACCGCATTGATAGATATATTGTGTTATAAACTTATCTTTCCACTTTAGAATTTCAAAGTTTATGACCAAACAACCGAGAGGATTCGAGTAAAAGTTTATTTGGAACGCGTCAGGGACTATGAAAACGATTCAATTTTGCGAGAGAGATTTATACTTTTGATTAGTTCTCAAATAGTATCTCTCGTCCCATATAATGGTATTTGAAATGGCAAAGCAAAAAGTGTGAGAAAAATATGATAACGTACAAATAAATTCTACTGCCCACATACAAAATCCGCTAAGTATCATCTGTACACAACGCATACAATGCTGAAACCTCCAGTCTTACTTCCACCGCACTCGACTTATTACGTCTATTATTCAATTAACTTCATTGGCTCAATCCAAAATTGAATCTTGGAAATTAGCCACGACGTATCCGTATCACCAGAAGATGCTTGGATTTGTCTCCGGCTTTTAAGTATAGAATCGAATTCGATATTTTTGAACGTTTACAATAAGATAAAACGATTATCATTAGCGAAGATATAAATGTGTACCGTGACGAAAACTCACGTCATCATCATTTTGATAAACTACGTCAGCTCTATGCCAAATTGAATCTTGCAAATGAACGCTAAACGTTAAATTCGATGAAACAGTCGTCGTAATTGTTTTATTCATGATTTATATCTGGAACGTCCCTCTAGTCAGTTGAAAAGTTAATCAGCTAAAAGCCCCTGCTTCCTGGATTAAGAAACCAGTTAATTTATGGCGAATAGAAGACGATCTTTTTTCTCAATTTCTCACTGTTTTGTACCTTAATTAAAAATGCGCAGTCTGTCTTAGAAGGGATATTCGATTAAATTTCGAGTCGGTTTTATGGAAGGGTTAAATTAATTTTAATTTTGGTTGCTTTACCCGCAATTAAGGGAGGCTCATTAATCAATGTTCACGAGCTTTATATAATTCGAGTTATTAATTTAAAGTTCCAGTGATAAGGGAATAACAATAACAGAATTTTTAAAGATTTCACAATAAACAGTATTTAATATCCATATTTGTATGATTTAAATAACTAGAGTTATAAATATAAGTACCTGGAAGACCGAGCTTTACTTTTTTGGTAAATCGTGTATTTTGGAAATAAAAAAATGTGTGAGTTCGTGACACGAACCGCGGCCTTCTGTTTCGGGGCCAACCGATTACCGCTCGAGCTATTTATTAATTACATTTTTTTCGGCGAAATTTACCATCATATTCAAATGGTATTTTTCAATCCCTGAAAACAGGAATAAAAGGACATTTTCCAAAAATGAAACCTAGCTAGATCGATTTTTCGCACATACTAAATTTCATGATTATATATATATATATATATATAAGAATTGCTCGTTTAAAGGTATTAGATATTATCCTGTGTAAAAAAATAATAAGTTTTTAATGTTTTTTACAAGATTTTGCTGATTAGTCAAAAAATATGCGCTTCAAAATTGAATAGACTGCTCAAACCGAATGAAGAAGACACCTCTTCTTCATTCAGTTTGAATGTCCCCACATTAGCCTCTACCCCAACCGAAAAAACACCGAATAAAAAATATCGAAAAAAATTAAGTCCATTACATTAATTACTGACCTGTTACCCATATTAGGGCGACGACACCGATCACTCTCTTAAAAACGCCCGCACTCACCGTCTCCATTTTTTTAAACAAACCACGTCTCATCTCACTCGCACATTTTCCTCCGTTCAATCACTTCCGATCGATCGGCAGTTTCGTTTCATCTCACGGTCTCCCATCCGATGGACGTTAGGAGATATAGTTTAAACGCATCGTTGTTGATAAGGGACCCCCGTTATGGCACCTGTAACAAAGGAAACAATTTTTAGGGGGATATGAAAGGGTCCATCGTTCGGATCGCTGAGGTCGTAACTGGAGGTCCTTAATATACACACGGCTCTATTGTTCGCTGTACATAATAACTGACAGCAATGAGTGGACTTAGTGAACGTTTTAAATTCCTTGGTTTTAGGTAGCTCCCTAACGAGAAAAGTGATGCAATAAATAAAAATCGGTAAATTTCGTTTGAGGATTTATATAATACATAAGCTATTGTATTTTATATATATATATATATATATATATATATATATATATATATATATATATATATAATATATATATAATTGGATTCTCGGAAACGGCTCCAGCGATTTTCATGAAATTTAGTATGTGCGTAGATTCGGGGACGAAAAATCGATCTGACTAGGTTTCATTTTTAGAAAATGTCGTTTTATCCCAGTTTTCAGGGAAGGAAAAATATTATAATTCGAATACAACGGAAAATTTCACCGAAAAAAAAAAGTTATATTAGCTCGGTCGGTAATCGGGCGGCCGCTAACATACAGCCACGAAACAGAAGGCGATCACGATCATTTACACACTTATTTTTTTAATTTTTTTTAGATTCCAGATCATTGCTTTCTTTATCTTTTATTTTTGTCGATTTGTTATTTTGTGGTTTTTTTCCCTTTTTTTTAAAGTTCTTTCTTTTGTGAAAAACATCAGTTCATATTTTCTTATTATTACGTCGGTAAGATCGAAAAATATTACGCATATTTCATTACTCAGTAATTTGTATCTGAATGTAATTTCCAAAACACACGATTTATCAAAAAAAAAACAAACCGGTCCTCCGGGTACTATAACATTAAAATGACTTAACCTTGTTAAATGGGTTTCATCACAATAATAAATCCATTTTTTTAAAGTAAGAATTAGAAGAACTGACTACTCGCCCGATGTTAAGTGATAACCGCCGCCCACAGACAACTGCAACGCTCGTAGGGTTGCAGATGCCTTGTTACCTTTTAATTAAGTGGGCCCCTAATACCTCACCCAACGAATGAAACGCAGAGTACAGCTCATTCATTTGACGCAGGTCTTCTATATGCAACAGCGAAGACTACGGCGTTTTCCTACCACAATTAAAACACGTCAAGTTTTCTGCTTGACTATCATATCACTACATAGTATAAAACAAAGCCGCGTCGTCCCGCTGTCTGTCTGTCCCTATGTATGCTTAGATCTTTAAAATTACGCAACGGATCTTGATGCGGCTTTTTTTACTAGATATAGAGATTCAAGGGGAAGGTTTATATGTATAATACATTGGACCCGTGCGAAGCCGGGGCGGATCGCTAGTTTATCATAATTATGATATCTTTCAACGTCCGGACATATTTAACGCTTGTGTGGCGACCGTCAAATACGGCAGCTTTCAGTTTTTATCTATTATTTTATCTATTATTTTATCTATTATTATTAATTTTTCTACTATGTTAAATACGCTATAACCTATTATCAGTGTACGTAAGTTTTCATTTGTTAAACATATTTCATAATTGATTGACTTCTCGAGTAAACTCCAAGATCACAATTTGACTTTTAGTAATATTGGAGCAGCAATATTAATTAAGTTATTAATTACCGGCTGCTTAATATTTTTTTAGGTATTCCTAGGTAGGATAAAAAGTAATAAAAGTCGTCCCGAAATAATTTAGTCACTTTCATAGGTAACGTAATAACTAACAGACTAACAATAATTTATGTTTCTTTGTAGAAAATATTATAAATAACCTAATAATTATGATTTAAATTATTAAAATGATATTGTGTATTTATATTTTATTTTTGTGATTTATGCATTGCTAAGTAACTGGTTACAAGTTAGACTTCAGTGTGTTTAAATATCAACTGCAACTACAAAATAATTACATAAGCGCTTGCGTATATTAGCGAAAAGTAAGTTTTCTTTGTATTCAAAAAGATAGAGGTAATAAATAATCGGCATACATTTTCATTTTCTATCGACAGTGAGTGTTGCAACTATAAATACGATGTGTGTACCGTTTAGAGACAGCGACAAAACATATCAACACATAAACACCATAACAAATCTTAACATGATTCGCAATCAAATTAAACTCCCGTGCGAGCGAAACTATTTCACGGAAACGGGAAATAAACATCTACCCCGCCCGTTCCTTTGTCGGGAAACGTATAAAACTAACGTCCAACAAAGGGGAGAAACACAAAAAGAACCTTCAGGTGTGGGGAGAAACGGGCGGCATTTTTTCTCTCTCGTGTCGATTTATTTATGCGGTATAATGTGTTGACGCGCGAGCCCGTGAGTGATCAATTGCTCCCTATGACGTAGCAGGGCCGGCCCGGCAGGGGCGATATGAGAAGTGAATAATTCAGTTACAAATGGAGCCACCCAACGCTCGTTGGCACTGGGCCTGGAACGACATGAAATGAAAGAGTGGACCGTACCTGAAGTAATCCACGGCAATAATAATATAAAAACCAGCTAAGTGCGAGTTGCGAGGGTTCCGTACCATTATCCGTTGATGAGAGCCCCACTCAAATATTTTTTGTTCTGTTTTTCATTATTTGTCGTTATAGCTGCAACAGAAATACGTTATCTGTGAAAATTTCAACTGTCTAACTATCACGGTTCATGAGATACAGCCTGGTGACAGACGGACAGACAGACAGCGGAGTCTCAGTAATAGGATCCCGTTTTACCCTTTTGGTACGGAACCCTAATAAAGAGCAAAGATTTGATTTTTTGATTTTTGTTTGTTACGATTTAACTCAAAAATATAGTCTTCAATTTTATGGTACTCATGTTAGCTTACAAATAAGCTATATCTTAAACCCGTATTCTCACGGGAACGGAAACTACGCGAATGATATAAATTATATTAAATAATGCAAATTAGCCAAGCTAACAGAATATTCCCTGACGAAGTGCCAGTAAATAAATAAATTTATATTTTACAACAGTGGCCAATCGTTCCGAGCCTTTGTCGGTGTAGTTTTTTTAACTACGCCAAATAACTTCAATGTGTTCAGTGTTTTATAACAATATGTGTATTTATGAAACGGACTCCATAGTAGCTATGTGACGATTACGAAAAAATAATAGGCCTTACGGGGTTCAGCCATGTTTTGTTCGTATGATAAATGATGTGTCGTGACTCATTGTATATTAACTAGAACTATGAAGCCCGGGGGCGACTTATACTGCGCAGCTTACAGTGTTTATAGGCGGTGTAATATGTACATAATTATGTCATCGAAGTTATACCTATGTAAGTAAAACAACGACATAGCTCATATTCATTCTATACTATCGCTCCGCCCGCATGTACTACGTTTTATATCGTGCTTAAAAAGTAGCCTATATAGCCTTCTTCAATAAATGGGCTATCCAACAGTGCAAGAATTTTTAAGTCCCTGAAATTACCAAGTTTAAACAAACAAACTCTTCAGTTTTATAATATTAGTAGATATCCTCTTATTTTTGTCCATCCCATCACTACAAAAAATTCTTTCTAGTTCAGTCCAGGTCGGATATCGGCCCGCCACTTGTCCTGGTGGTTCATTTCCTGAATAGCAGATACAGGGGCGACCTAAGGGAGTTGGGTTCAAGGTCATTTTAACAGTGCAAAAAAGTTGATATAGCATTTTATTCTACCCATTGGCATTGGCGAAAACGTGATGGTTTATGTCTTTTAAGTTTCGCAGCCAAGGTGCTTTACCAAATTATTTTGCCTTTCTTTCTGTTGCCACTCTAACAACAAATATTTGATTGAATGATTATTTTGCCGTTTTATAGATAATGGTACGTAACTCTTCGTTTGAGAGTCCGACTCGCACTTGGCCGGTTTTTCTTTAATTTATATAAACTTAAAATCATCTTCATATTTTTTATTTTTTTATGCTTTTTTTAATGTTTTTTCATGTTAAAAATTGCCAAACGAGTAGACGGTTCACCTGATGTTAAGTGAATACCGCCGCCCATAGACATTTGCTACACCCGAGGGTTTGCAGATGTGTTGACAACCTTTTAGGAAATTGGGCTCCGGCTACCTCACTCACCAGACGAAACGCGAAAGTATTATACTTCCACTTTACGCCGGTCTTCTATGAGGTCGTGGTACTTACCCGGACGAGCCTGCCCATTTGTGCAACAGCCGAGGCTGCTGCGCTGCCCTTCCACCGTTAAATAGTAATCTAATTTTAATAAACGTTAATTCGTTGTATTATATACATAACTCCAGTTTGATCGAATTCAATTGTAGCCATTAAATACAATTAACTGGTATTTTATCGCACAAACCTGTGCAATGTGTTTTTTTAAGTTGATATAACTTTTTATTTATGAACCACATTACAATGCATTAGTGAAAGTTGCACCAAAATCGGTTAAACCGTTTCTATTAGCGCGCAATATAGTTTCTCTCAAATATATTCCATGTACAGCCATCAGTTACATCTTTATTATATGAGAGTTCGGCGTGATCGACAACGGGTCTCTGATTGATCACAGACCCGTTAAGGAGATTTCAAATAGTTGGGCTGAAATACTATTTTCATCCACGAGTACATAGTACCCCATAGTGCATAGTTAGTCCATTTCACCTACATGCAGTGGCCAGCACGCATCCCAGCCTAAATTCCCATAGAAAATGTATGGGACGAGTTTGGGTGGTGTGTTAGACGGTGCTTCCCAGCTCCGCCTCCCTTGTGATGAAGAGAGCATAAGTGGACCGCTCTGGTCACAAATAGAACAAAATCGTAATAAAAAAATTGTTTACAGTATGTCAAATCATCAGAATGAGCTTATTAGT